TTTTACCAGCAACAATTAACAAGACGTTGTTAATTGAAGACTAATTTTGATTGGAAGATTTGTTTAAGATGTTAGAAATAAATATATTTTACATGAAATGACATTCGACAACATATTATATTTGAACATTTGATAATCTTGTTCGTTTTCGAATAGTAGGAGATGAAGGTTTTATACAAGATAATAAACGTTTATTTATGTTTTCCTTCAATCTAAATGATAATAGGTAAATAGATATTTAAATATACAGTCAATCATAAGGATCTAATACCAGTTAATAGATTTGACGAAAGGTTCCCTATCAAGATCGATGTCTAACTGATATTGAAATAAAACAAATAGGGAATATTATAGAGTAGAACCATATTATGGATTGATTAGGAGAAAAACTTGACAAATCTATAATGATAATCAAGTAAAGACTTTCTGCATAATCTAGATTCTAATGAACTGCCAGTACTCTAAAAAGAGTTGGTGCATCTTATTTATTTCAATTAATGTTTAGGATCGTTCCTCAGTATTAGTTTTCACAGCGTTAAGTCTTCATGAGACTAGTATTTTGTGAAGATTTGAAATTTTTTTGGTCGTTCCTATTGAAAAATATGAAAATAAAACAATTATTATGTCATCATTATCGTTAAAAGTAATAATTTTTCTTAAACTCCTATCTAAGAAGAGAAGGAACTTAGATATATAAAATTTTCATAAGTTCCAAGATGAAAATCTGAAAATCAATTGTTCCAAGTGATTGAAAGAAAGAGCAGAGCATAGTGCTGAAAAACGTTATAAAAATAAAATAGTTCGTTCGAATAAAGCTAGGAGCACGGAACTCTTCCTCAATATGAAGAGTTGCTTAGGGTCTACATGATAAGCATAATCTCAAATCGAAACACATTCTCTCGTTTCTCTTCAAACGATGGAACTGCTCTCAGTGATTCAATGACTTTTGAGCTCCGATTTCCAGCAAACTACTTTTGCAAAAAATAATTGATATATATTTGAGCTAAGATTGCGCCAGAAAATCGAACTAGATTATATTAGAATACTTGAAAAGTTTTTCTAAAAAAAATCTATCGTTTATCGATAGAATAACGTTTAGGAAAAAACGTTCCTTATTGTATCGTTTCCTATGAAACATAACTATTTTTTTGTTGCAAATCCAATATCTGAACAAAAACATATTCGTTTCTTTTTTCTGATAGTGTTCATCATATTTGAGTAACGTCTATCAATATCTTCTTAGAAAATCTCATTGATTAAAAACGAGTATAACTCAAGATTAGTATGACATGACCCGAACTTATTGTACAGTTATTTTAGTCTCAACATTTCGAACTCATCCTAGAAATGGAAACTGAAAAGCAATGATTTATTTCGATGAGTTCCTTCGTAACGTAACAAAATTTTTCGTAAATGAAAATCAAGTATTTTCATGAGAATATGAGAATTATATAAAAAGATTCGTCTATGAGATAGATTAATTATTTTAGATTCGTTGAATAGATCGATAAACATGTTGTTGACGTTGATCAATACTATTTAACGTTGGATAAAATTTGATTAGAAATAGGATATGTTATAGAATTATTTTCGATTTCTATTATTATTTATTTAGGACATTATTTAATCGGATCATTTTTTTTTCTTATAAAACGAATTTATTTTTGGTTGATGAAGAACTTTAGGACGTTTTATTATCGTTATAAAATGATCATCATTTATTTCAATAGAAATTTTCTTTTTTCGATAAATAACTTTTCTTTTTGGATTCTCGACATTTTATTTTTATCAACTAAATAAAATAGGATGGATTAAAAAAAAAACAAATAAACTTTAACAAAATGACAAAGATTGTTCGTTTTTTTTATGTAAATCTTGTCTAGAAGATAATTATTTATTTTGTTATATTAATCTGTATCTATTCGAATAAATGTTTGCTCTTGTTAAAGAAGATTTGCTTGTCTTTTATTTAACAATTGATCTTATAATATGATTAACATGTTCATTTGATATTTTTCTTGTTGAATATGTAACACATATGTTTTTCTTTTTAGCAAAGACCTTCGTTGTTGACGACGTTTATTACGGTATTTTTAATATCGTTCGTAATTGTCAACTTGAATTCGTTGGTGAATTGGTTGTTTTTAAAATAAATCAATCGTTTTTTCTAATTCTAATTAAACAAAAAATGTCGAAAATAAGTAAAATATTTCAAGAAACGTTGACTAGTTAAACCTTGAGTACTCAGGATACGTTCTATTTCACCTGTTTTTAATATATTCGTTTCATTCTTCGTCTGATCAAATATCAACTTGAAAGAAATAAAAAAAATTAATAATTATCTATAGTTACTAATAAAAATAATGAAAATCTAATAAAAGATATTGTTGTAATGAAACGAGCACCAATTGACCAATAATAGAGTGGACGTACGATTTTTGAGGATGTCGTCTCACAAAGAGATACATAGATAGAATTCAATGAAAATTATTTACATAACAAGAAAATTTCTTTTTATATTAGATCACTTCAAACAAAAAAGTCATTGTTAAAACTCAACGTTAAATAAGGATGTAGATGTGACCATTCGACGCACCATTTCTTTGTCTGCAACTCAACCACTTCGTGTTTAAAAGATGCCGTCCACTGTTAGAGTTACGTATTTGAATAAGAGATTATTTAAATGATCTTCTTATATAAAGAATCTTCTTGTCTAATTCTCTTTACGAAGAACTTTTATATGTCGAACAAAGAAGAGTATTAACGATAAACGACTATTGACATTTGTTTATGACGTTGATGATTGAATATCTTGAGATTGATTTTATTCATCTAGAAAAAAGAAAAAAATGGCAAAAAAAGTTCTCTTTTATTCAATTAGAAAAACAGGAATATTCATCGCGTCTCAAAAATCTACTGCGATGATAGAAAAAAAAAAGCTTGTGTATCGCCGTCGCAATTGATAATCATTTTTGCTACTTTGTCAAATACATATGGCGATGTGTGGGACTGGGACTATGACTGAGACTGAGAGTGGAGCAAGGCAAGGCCAAAATCTGAACAATGATCGGTGCCTATCATACTCCCCTTGGTGATTCGATCCCGGTCATAGTTCTTCTCTCGAACTGATGCTGACCATTGTCTGAGTAAAAGTGATCTAATCCTAGTATCGATTCGGTTCCAGCCATTGTCTCAGTGACATAGACATCTCTATCAATGCGAAACATTGAAAAGATAATTCACTGAAAATAATATCTTTTATTTATTTAACGTAACATGAGTTCTTATTTTGATGAATTAAAGAAAAATGTCTTGATTATTAAATTCTATCTGATGTTGCTACTCTTTTACTTAATTAAATATATTCAATAATATATATATATTGATCATTAGAGATAAATTATCTTTGAAAATAATTGATAACAATATAAACTGTACCTTCGTCAATAATATCGTTGTGCTGTTTATATAAATAAAAAGAAAATTTAATAAAATAAACTATTGTTAAATATAACCTTTATAGGATATTTGTTTAATTTTTTAAGCTAAATCAATATTTATAGTTGTATAATATAATAATGAAAATAAATGATGGATTCCATCAAACCTATTGTTACTAATGATGATCCGAATAAAAATTCTTAATTATGTTATCGTTATGTATTAATTGACATAATAAATAATCGTTTCAAATAAATTCTAATCTTAAGATTGATTATAATTAATTGTGTTCTGTTGTGTTGTATATATATTTGTTAATTATTAATATTTTGTTGAACGATTTATTAATGATGTAATTAAATATGAATATAATAAGTGTAAAATAGTTATTATATAAATAATATGTGATATAAAATGATTTTGTTCAATAAAATATTAAAATAAATATAATTTAATAAATAAATTCTTCTAGATGAATTATTTCATTTTATTTCATATTGATTTAAATCATTTAAATATATATTTAAATTAAAATCAATGTTAATATTGATTTAATATAAATAAATATTTATTTAATATAATATTATTGATTTATTCTAAATAAATCAATATTCTGATAAAGACGATTATCAATTGAATATGGTTAATACATTATTATTTAACATTATTTATTATTGTTGAGTATAATGATGATGATTGAGTTAAAACTATTAACAAAATCGTTCTCTTCGAAGATATAATATATTTTATTCAGATGTTTTACTATTTTGAAATTCTAGAAAAACTTCTTCTGTATTATTATTATTAGATTTTTTTTTTGATTTTTTAAATGCTGGAAAATGTTCTTGTTCTTGTTTTTTTTTATATTCATCATTAAATTCTTTATCATAATCAATATAAATATCATGATTATTTATATTTATTTCATTTGGTAAATATATATAATTAGTCAATAAAAATAATTAAATGGATATATTAAACAAATTTGTTCAGTATTTAAAAATAATTAAATTAAATAATCGTTTATTTATATATTGATTTAATGATAAAAATGGTGTTAGATGAACGATTTATATAAGATAATGATATAGATATAAATACAAATAATTGATTTGATAAATATTTATTTTCAATAAATATATTAATATAAGATATATTGAATACTTGTAAAACTAATCAATGATAACAATAATAATAAATTGAATTTGTTGGTTAGAGAATTATAGTTGATGTTGTTGTTGATGATAATGTTTATTTTGATTTTTTTAATAAACCTTTCTTAAGGTAATGTTTCTCGGATAATTATTTGCTGAATTTGTTATAGGTGAACTTTGTATTATAGATGATCGGATGTCAAGAATTGTCAATGCTTATTAATTAATTGTGAGAAAATTTTGTTTTCGTTTATATGAATATGTAAATAAATTTTATTCTTAGAAATAATAAAGATTAAATTGATTGATAATACTCATTTCTATTTAATAATATACTGAATAGATAATAAACGATTATAATAAATAGTTGTGTTAATTTAAAGAATTTATTCTTTTAAATGTTTGTTAAGATAAATCAAGAAGATTTATAAACAATGATTGTTGTTTATCATCTATCCACCATGAATAATATGAACATAATTGTAATAGACGTTTTGGCATATAAATTATTTTTCGATGACGCATAGCAAATCTATCAAAAATTTAAAAAGCATCTTTCAAAATAAATAAATGAATAACATCGAGACAATCTAAACAAAAAGAATTTAAATGGGAATTTTCTTTTTATAATGTAAGGCATCGACTATTCGACGAAACTGAGTAAAATCATTTCTCGTCATTCTAGGATAGAGATCGTTGAGTTAACTCTGAACATGTTTTTTTTTTTTTATAATAAAACTTAGGTTTGAAAAGAAAAAGCCTATAAAAATAGCAATAGACTAAAAGAATCAAGTCTCGGTAGTTCTCTGTGTTTTTGACCAAAAGCCTCAATATCGAGTTGACTATAAACTATGATAAGTTCAAGTGCAATGTGCAAATAGAGACATAATCCGACTGAAAACATCTCAATATTATAGAGTTACTAAGTTTAAGAAATTCTCTTGTTTGACTTTGGAGAAAACTACTAGCCAAACTGATACTCACCATTTGAGCTCATATTCGGTTGACACGGAACGTTTCGGTAACTAGATTGAGTTGCATCGAAAATTTATTAAAACTGTCATAACTAGGCTCGGAATGCCCATGGGGATGAACTCTTTTAGGGTTTTTCTAGTCTTACAGGAACCTCCTTGTCAAGTCAATATAAACGGAAACGGCGGGCATCACTTCGGCTAGTTCCCTTGTTGGAGTAATAGAAAACAGCAGTTTCCTCAAACCTGGCTGTTTAGAGACATCCGATCTTTATCATAGATATTGATAATCATCCTCCAGAGATAAAATCGTCTGTGTTTCGTTTATCTACGTAGTCTATCTCTAATAAAAAGTTCAATATAATCGATTGTATCCGTTTCCAACAATGAGAAATGATCAAAAAACGATGGCAATACTCTTAATTGAAGATGTAGAGAGTAAGACTTTTTTGTGTACTCTATATCCTAATTAACATATTATCATATTATATATTCAAATAATAGAATATAATTATGTTATTATATTTTTAATGATATAATTTCGGTGTCTGTTGGTTGTTGCATAATTGGTGATAATGATGTTAATTTAGTTGTTAATAAATCTGCTAATTATTTAAAATAATAAGGTTGTTGGTTGTTGATCATTAATTTGAATATGATCCATTTTAAAAAGATTTCTACATTGATTTATTTGTCTATTCGGATGATTAATTTGTATTTGTAATTGTATAGATCGATAATAAATATTTTCAATAAAATATTTGCTCAATATTATTTGTTGATGATGATAATAAATTGAATAATTTTCTTTCTATAATAATGCATTATTTGATATTAATCTTTCATAAATACCTTCAATTGATTTTTATTTTTATTTTTTTCATGTTTTTCATTATTATTATTATTATTATTATCATCATTTAATATAATTATAATAAAAAAAAATCATCCGACTGGTAAACGTATTGATGATAGACGATATATTTTATTGTCGAATTAATGTTATATGTATATAACGTGCTATGATAGGTGGTTGTAAATAATGTAAAAAAAAATGGTTGATTTGATAAATGTCTTGAAGAAAATAAACGTTGACAATCGTCAATATGTTGACCATATGACCAAAAATCTAAACGTTAATTATGCTAATTGATGACATGATGGTATTAATATATAAGTTAATGTAAGGTTGTTGTCCAAAATCTAAAATAAAATAACGTGTGTCTACGACCATCTGATAAACGACCAATTATTAATTGATATTATGGTAAATATTCTCCATAATTAATATTATTTTATATTTCTGTTAATATATAATCAATTGTTATTATTTGTTGTTGTTCTTGTTAAAGATTTTCATCATCAATGTGATTTTTATTATTTGTTAATATACGATTTGTTGATGATTGATCTTTGTTGATTTTGATCTATGTATAAGATCCGTAAATAAATTTGAATTTTTTTTGTTAATATTGATGTGTTGTCTTGTAGCTGATTTATTTTTTTCTAATTAATTTTAATTATTCTTTTTGTAAACTTTGTTTATCGTTTAAATATTGATGGTAAATATGTCTAACCATGATGATGTTCCAATAAAATTCTTATTTATTTGATTTTCAATTGTTGTTGTTGATATTGAAAATGATGAAACAATTGTTGATGTTCTTGAATTTGTTGGTCCTGTTGAATTTATTGATGTTGGTAAAATAAATAAAGTCTATAATGATATCTATTTATATATGGTGTTGGAAATGAAAATGGATATCTATTTTTTCAATTAAATCTTTATATTAATGGTGGTGATAGCATTGAATTTGATGTTGTTCGATTCTAAAGATGATCTTAACTAGTTGTAAGTGTGACATTAGGTGGTGGTGCATTTGTTGCTTAATATGTAGGTTATGTTAATAAATGTTTTATATAAAGACATTAAATATGTGTCCGATCAGTTGATGAATGCATTCGAGAATTGAATGGTGTTATTTGAAATAGACCTTTTTTTGGTTTTAAATAAATATTTGATGATGAAAGTGAATTTGGTAAAAGTATTGATAATGCATTGAGCATATTTGTTGATGAATATAATCTATCGTCGATGACGATGGTTTTATTGTTAAACCAGTTGTACCATAACGTGAATAAATAGGAAGATGATAAAAATTCTAATTTCTAACAATTGTAGGTGATGATTGTGATCGATTTGTTGAATGTTGATGATGTTGATGAATTAAAATAAGATTGACGAAGAGAAGATTGAATTAATGTTGAAACGATCAACATGAAATCGATCGGCATAAAATCGAAATCTTAAGAAAAAAAAAATCGAAGAATAATTCCAATTCTATGTTCCATATAAAGCCTATAGAGTCTGGCTTACCGACCGGATGCGAGTGCAACAAATTTTAATCGATCAGGTCCGAGCCCGTAAATTCTTGCACTCGATGACCCCTAGTCGCATCAACGGTGGAACACTTTGAATCTATGTTAGACTTAGCAATCTTTTGTAAGATTCTCATCGAAAGAGAGGAGGACGAATGTATTTATCGTACTAAAATGAAATCGAGCTAGTGCTTCGTTGTTTATAACTGATATTGAGAACTGTATAGAGCTGTTACAGTTCAGAAAATATTTGTCAACGTTGTGTAAAAAAGACGTGCCCTTAAATAAACAATCTAATTTCGGCTGTTGAAAGAAGAGTTTTCGATGTGCCTTACTGAAAAACAGAATAACGACGAAACAGTAATGTTGACAAGAAAAGAAAACGCTTCGGCAGGTTTTAGTCTTATCTAACTCGAGTGTTCCGGTATTCTTCTATTTTACTTGTTACAAATGACTACTAGTTCAACTCATTAACAATATAGAAGCTAACATTTACTCGTACAGAATTGAACATGTTCAAAGTCTGCTTCAGTAAAAAAAAAAACGCTACTAATTGTTACCAACAGCAGTGAAAAAGTAAAACGTTATGCACTGCATAAATCTATAAAAGTGATAGAATGAGAAACAAATGTTTGAGCCGTTTCCTAGCCTACACAAGCTCCCCATGACGTTTGCCACGTTCTAACATATTGTATTTGTTGTTAAGGCTAGTGCTGATAGCTCGTTATAATAATCGGTGTCTATCTATAAACGATTGGATAGAGTGGTTTCTACCGATATTGAAATAAATCGAGAAGAATATATATTTACTAATAAAATTTTTTCCAGCACCATTATCAATAGATGGTTGATAAACAATCGTAGAGCAAGTTGGGGTAAATGTAGAAGAAAAATCGAACATCTTTTGTATAACTTTTATATCTTTTTTATTTTTCAATATTTTAAAAAATTTTCTTCACAAACTATGTAGAGGAATTTCTCCTCTATCGATCTGTGAAATCAGTTTTAAAAAATCTTGCAGTATAACGTAGTGGTGATGGATTTCCCGAGATCCCCATCAAAATTATACATTTACCCCGGTTGGGGTAAATGTATAATCGTGCTGGCGCAATTGGGGTAAATGTATAATCCCAGCTATTTTTGGCTTGATTAGTAAAACCAAGTTTGTAAATGATCTGTTTGCTTGTTTAAGAAAATTTTTTTACGAATGGATAGCCGAAGATTTTCTCTATGACGTTAGACTATTTCGAATATCTATATTAAAAATATCAAGTTTCGACAGAATTTTTTCAGAGAACTTTAATAAAAAAAATTTTATACATTTACCCCACTTGGGGTAAATGTATAATCATGCTGGTGCAAGTGGGGTAAATGTATAATCCCAGCTATTTTTAGCTTGATTAGTAAAACTAATTTTTTTTTTCGAAAAAAAGATTTCACAGATTTTCTTTTGTGAAAAATATTTGTTAACCAAAATTCTAGAAGACTAAACTATTTCTCTACTTACTTTTCAATTTAATAGATGTGTTATTCAAAAAAGAAAAAATTACCAGCAAAAAGGTCATTTTTTTATTAAAATATTTTTCAAAAAGAGTTACCTATTCGAAATCAGCATAAAATTCTGAGTAAAATGGTGTCCTTTTTTCTATCGAAAAACGACTTTCATTTTTCATCAGATTATTCGGGACCTGGGGGGACCCCAGGATAGTCGAAATTTTTTTTT